CCTAAGTAACACAAAATATGAAACTAGGAACTCAGTGGATGGGTTTAACAGCAGATCAAAAATAGTAGAACATAGGATGAGTGAACTGAAAGATAGGTCAATAGAAAATGTCCAAACTAAAGTTCAGAGATGAAAGTCGGAAAGTTAGCCCAGAGGGAAAAAATTTTAGAAAAGTCAGAAAATAATTTATCCCAAATAAACCTGCAGTTAGAGAAATACTAACGGAGTTTTTCAAGTGAAAGGAAGATAATTCCAAGAAAATGCAAAATTACAGGGAAGAATGAAGAACAATGAGGGAGTAAATATATGAGTAAGTATAGACAAATACTGACTTTTCTGTTTAAACAGTAACAATAAGGTATTATGGAGTTTACAATATATGGAAATAAAATATCTGAAAATAACAAGAGAAAAGGTAGGAGGGAGAGAAATGAAATTTAGAGTGTTCTAAGATTCTAGCATTATTGGGAAAAATGATAGAAACAATCATTTATATTAAATATAAGTAAGTCAAGGCCACATGTTTTAACCTCTAGTTTAACCATTAAAAGAACAGTAAAAGAATGTATAACTCAAGTTAGGTGTAAGGAAAAAATGGAATAAAAATTGACTTGTAAAATAAGTCAAAGAAAAAGAAACATAAAACAGGAGAGTTATATAGACAGTAAGACAGTATTTAAACCAAAATATATCAGTAATTACATTAAATGTAAATGGATTATATACTTTAGCTAAAATTAAAAACTGAAAAACACCATAAATAGAAATAAAGGACAAGTCACAAACTTGAAGGAGACAATTCAATTCATATATAACCAAATGATTAGTATCCAGAATAAATGACTTTCATGAATCAACAAGAAAATGCCAGGGTAAGGGATCTGAATGCAAATTTCACAGATGAAAAAATGTGAATAGTAAATAAACATGAAAAGATGCTCAACCTCATTTGGAATCAGACACATTCAAATTAATCAGCAGACACCATGAGACTGACATAATGTCTGACAGTATTAAATGAAAACAAAAAGGAAAACAACACGAATTCTTACACAGTGTTGTGGAATAAACAGTGCAACTACTTTGGAAAAAATTATTCATTATCTAAGAAAGCAAAAGCAGCAACTTTACATCTAAGTAAATATTCTAGAGAAAACTGTAATGTATACCAGGAGATATATACAAGATTATTATACATGGCAAGACTGTTTTTATTTTTATTTTTAAAGATTTTATTTATTTATTTGACAGAGACACAGCGAGAGAAGGAATACAAGCAAGGGGAGTGGGAGAGGGAGAAGCAGGCTTCCCGCCGAGCAGGGAGCCCGATGCGGGGCTCGATCCCAGGACCTGGAATCATGACCTGAGCCGAAGGCAGACGCTTAACGACTGAGCCACCCAGGCACCCCGGCAAGACTGTTTTTAACAGTACCAAACTAGAAACCACGCACATGTCCATCAATAATAGGATGGATAAATAAATTATGCTATATTTATTTAGTGGATATATAGCAGTGAAAATACATGAATTATAGCCATGTTCTACAATAAGGAATATAATGTGGAGTGAAAAAAACTGAAGAATACATTCTACATGTCCTATTTATTTGAAGTTCAAAAATGAACAAATCAAAACAATGTATTATGTAGGGATATAAACATATGTTATAAGCCTATAAAGAAAAATAAGAGAAAGATAATCAGGATAGGTTAGCCAGTGTGAGGGACAGGAGGAAGAAGGAAGGATTAGGGGAGGCATATACAGTACAAATGAGACTCCAAAGGCAATAGCTGTTTCTTAAAATACAGGTTGGGCACATAAGAGTTATGGTTATTTGTAATTTTTATTTAATAATTTTTATATTTAAGTATTCCTTTGTATATTCTTAACATTTAATAAAAAGGACAATATAAAACATGCACTAGTCCTATCCCTTTTCATTTGTCACTCTATATAACACTGAACCTAATTTTTTTCTTCTAGTGAGAAAAATTATATAATGACCTAAAATATTTTTAAAGAATTAGTCTTAAACTATGAAAACCATAAAAAACATTTTCAAAACCAAACTCCTTAGATTATCTTAGTTTTTTTATAACTCATAGTTACAGTGTATACTTAAACTACAACTAATCCAAATGTTGTCAAAATCAATACACAGAAAATCCCAAAGTCACTGAACTACTTCATGCTACATGAAGTATAATCTAGTGCTTGGGCTAGCATTTTATCTTCAACTACACATTCTAACCACATGGATGCCTGTCTGTATGCTTCTATTGAAAAAAAAATTTTCATTGAGCAATAATCATTTTTCTTGAACCAAGGGGTCAATATGAGCAAAGGCAGAAAAGCCAGAAAAACCTGGCCTGAAATTCAGGCTCAGATCGGGTATGGGAGAATATGGTGCTCAAGAGAAAAGTAAGATGTTAACTACAGAAGACCTCCCATGTTCAAAAGCAACTTATATTGTTAAAAAACCTTAAACAATCTTAACACCAAAAAAATATTTGATATGGGATATAGTGTCTGATATGATGTGAGGTGAAGGCCTCTAGATGCAGTAGTGCCAGGGCCTACAGACATCTTAAAATAAAACTAAGAGAAAAAAGAAGAGTGAGGTCTTAGTTTCGGTCTTGTGGGCTGACTAAATAATAGTGTCATCAGCTAATAAAGGGAATATAGATGTTACAGCATATTTGGGAGGAAAACTAATGAGTTCAATTTTGGACATCATGAGGTTGAGCTGCCAAAGGAGCAACTTGACTTCAAGGACTTGTTGTTCCTAACATTAGGGCCTATGGTTAACACGGTAAATGCATAATGAACATTGACGGCTATAAATTATGAATCTGGCTCCCCCAAACAGATCATACATTATGTTGAAAACAAAACAAACTGATGTGAATTGGGAGAATCATCAGTTGAAATGGGGAGTATCAGATATATCGATATGACTTCTTTTCATATTCTCCTTAACACTTCCCTGCTACACATCTAGTTCAAAATAAGGAAGATCATATTTCAGCATATAAATTACTCACAATGTGTATTCACAAATTCCCTACTCCCACTATAGCCCCTTTTACTCATTACTATTTTTTTTCCGTGTACAGTTTCAGGGTCATTTTCAATAACAAAAGGAAGGCTGTATGTTTCCTCCAGACATATGAATTAAAAACATTCCCATCAATTTCATGCTCATCTATGCTCCAAATTCTATTCTCAGATTTCCTGGACTGAAGTAGATGGGAAGTAATTATAAAATTACAGTGTAGGAATACAGTGATTGTATTCCTACAGTTCCTACAGGTAGGAAGGAGGAAGAGCTTGGGAGCTTTGTGTGCTACTTTCTCCACACTAAACCCTTGACCCTAGGGTGTTCACTGATGTCATTCAGTGAAAAGTGAGTGACAGCCACGCTAGAAGATGAGTGGAAAGTACCTGAACCTTGCAGTGAGGCGACACTGAGCTCAAATTCAGTTCTGTAACTTACTATGGGATCTAGGAGGGATTTAGGGCAGATGGCAAAAAAGGGGAAAGGAAGAGAGTGTTGTGCAGATATCTGTCTCTCCCTCACCCCACTTCCTTCTTCACTATTCTGGTCCATAAGTCTTTACATGTACACTCATTTACCCCAGCCACACAGACAACCAGACTATTTGGAAATGGGGTATTGCAGAATCCTAGAATTACAAAATGTTTGGCATAGAAAGAGGAAAAAACTGACTTAAGGGAATTCTGTGATTTACGCCGAATCTGTCTTTAGTTCATTTGGTGGTAAAATGAGTAAGTATTTGAATTTCCAGCCCAGATTTTTTCCCCCTGTATACCATAATTTAAACCTGAGAAACAACATAATTAAATAAGTGAAGAGGGATTTATACGTTATAATTTGCCATAAAAAGCAAATTTCCATGCCTGTAACAAGCTTTATTCTCCAAGTATACAACTGATTCAGAATTCAGTAGACAACAGTACTGGATTATATCATCCTTTTCATCAAGAAGATTAAGTCTTGTGGATGGGATTAAGAGCAATCCCTGCTCAAACAGGCATAAACGATTGGAGGAGTTCCACATGGTCATACTAGAGCAACAACATCATCTTTCTGTTCTCTCCTTGTGGCTACCAAAAGAAATTGCCATGTCTATGACCTCCTTCTTAGGAAGTTTCTACTTTTAAGTCTTTTCCAAAGATGAATGAATGCACAAAGACAATGGATAATTATTCCAAGCCTTTGGAGAGGCAGCAATGGAGAGTGACTAAGAACACAGACTCTGAAGCCAGATTATCTGCATTCAAATATCAGCTACACAAATTATTAAATGTATGACCCTGGCCGAGTTTTACTCAACCTCCAGGTCCTCGGTTTCCTTCTCTGTAAAGTGGAGATCGTAACAGGACATACATCCTAGAATTGCTGAGAAGATTAAATAGGTTTGAGGCTTGGCATGAAGTAAGCCCACTGGATAAGCATGCTATCGTATTACTGTTCTGTTGTTATTGCAGGGCTAATGGAAATATTTGTTTCTGGGCACTGTACTGTAAGATAAGAATAGCCAAATACTAGGCAAAGTTCAGCTGACAGGAAAGAGCCAAGAGCTCCCAAGAAAAGCTGCTTCAATCAAAAGCCAACCTAAGAGAAATGATATTGGCTTTAATTTTATGAGTTACAAAGATCTTTTCTCTTAGTTTCTTTCCTTATTCAAGAAATATATGGGAGCTGACACAGCAGGACAGATGGGAGAAAACGGGTAAGATGAAATAGAAGAAAGCAGCTACAATAAAAATGCTTTAAAAGTTTTTCAATTCTTAATTACTGAGTGCTACCATTCATGAGGAATTTTTTAAGGGTCTCAAAGCTATTAAAATGGTAATTAGGTCCCAAGAAAACAAGAACCAATTCAATTACATGCTGGATGCTTTTAAAATTTAAAGCCCTCTATTAAGAGGGTTTTAAATGAAGCACAGTTATAATTACAGGTCCATGACCAACCTTAAAGCCAAAGTGTAGGTTCCCGGCTGACGCTGGCTCTCACGAATAAGGTAACTCCCCTCAGCCACACTCAAGAGCTGGTCTGCTTCTTCTCGGGAGATCATGCCGTGAAACCTAAGAAAAAAGTCAATTCAGAAACTGAATGCTTTCCACCTTTTGTCAGTAAAGCAAGATAAAACAAAACCCTCCACCCTGTCCTGTTGTTTTCTAGACAAAGTACTGCCATATAATCGAAGGAGAGCAGTTGGGCTTAACTCTGCTTGTGTTTTTCTGGGCCTGGCCCCTGGCCAGCTTCTCTGTGGTAACAAGAACCGCACCAAAGTAGCTCTCCAATCCATTTAACAATTGTGAAATCAAAATCCACATCCATCTAAGGGAAGATCAACCACCTCTCTCAAGAGGACAATTCCCTTCTTATGTAGCTGTCTGACCATATGGACATACTAAAAAATACACAGCAATGTGTCCCATTTCCTTCCTTCATGCTAATGGCACTGCTCCAGAATTCTGGCTCACAGTCTAAGTTGGCAATTTTCCAGGACCCTGGGTTGCCCTTAATTGGCATGATTGCCCAATAATGTGCATAATCTGCATCACTGGATACTCAAGCCAAAAGCAAACAACAGTAATACTTGCTTTCACTCCCTGATAAAACCCTATTTTCGATTAACAGGGGAAAAGGCATGAAGAAGAAAAAATATAAATAACACATTCTTTACACCAAGACAGCAGATTCATCTATAGCATTCTGACATGAAACACTGAAAAAGAAAAAAAATGTCAGTGGTGACAGATGATTACTATTAAAAAGAAAAAAACCATCTTATATTTATATGGTGATTTACAATTACAATTTACAAAGAACTTACACATATATTATGTCCTTTCAGTAATTCAAGGATAACTGAATTGAGGGATTGCTCAAGTGAAACTTTGTGGTTTTTACTGGTATGAAAAAACAGCAGTCACTTGATTTTGGAATGATGTATTTAAAAGGCCCTGAAGTGCCACCTTAATAATTTAGGAACTTTACTAGAGGGCAAGTGGTAAGCTTTTGGAGTTTTTCTCATGAGGATGGTTCAGTCTTTCTCAATTTAAGTCTCAAAACAGTTCATGGTATGTATGTTCAAATCATGACAATCAGAGCAGCTAGGTTCAAAAGTGGACTCTGGGAATTTCTTATCTCCATATATTTCTCAATCATTCGGAACCAGATTCCTCAGACTCTGCCGGAGGCAAGAAGACAGTAACCTACCACTGGTGGTAACACATACCATTAGATTAGCATATTGGCATATTGTTTTAAGTTTACATGAAATCAGTTAATAAAGTTAGTAAAATTTAATATTTATTTGTTTTTAAAAACTCAATTAATTTAAAAGAAAATCACATTCAAGGACGCAAACTTTGGAACAGAACTTGACAAGGATATTTAAAGAAGTATAAAACTGTTCATACCATTTAAACCAAAATTTCCACCCCAGAAAAAGCTTTATGCACTACGATGTTTCTGATGGTATTATTTTTAATAATATAGTTTAGAAGCAAACTAAATGCCAAAAAGCAGCTAAGTGATTAAATTATGGTACAACCATAAAAAACATCAGTGGCTCCCCGCCAACTCGTAAGCGCCTATGTTCTATTCACAAAAGTCTTGGAAACTTAAACAGAATTTTTAAAAATTTAAAAAACTTGCTATATACATCATTGTGTATCTGATACGATCTTAAGTCTTGAAAAACAAAGGATTTTATTTGAGGAATGATGGGATTATAGGTAATTTTTTTTCTTCTTTCCCAAGGGCTATATTTCATTTTTTTAATAATCAGAAAAATTAAGCATTTAAAAAGTTATTACAACATTTTTCACAGAATAGAAAAATATTATTAATACTAAGTGGAAAAATCAGGCTATAAAATTATATGTATAAAATCTCAATTTTGTAAAACCATTAGGAAAATAGATCCTCAGAAGGTAATACTTCAGACTATTAACACTAGCTATTTCTGCATAGCATAAATTTACTTACAGAAAATCTGGAAAATAAAGAAAAGTGTAAAAATACACTGAACCACCCCACCCTGCTGTACGTACCTACGTGAATATACATTGATATGCTTAGTATATACATATACACACAAATACATACATTTTCCTCATACACATCTAGAATTATTTATTTATATTGCATCTTTCTTTTAACATCATTCCATACATACATTTTTCCATGCTATTTTCTTCTCTATACTTTATTTTCCGTTATTTTCACCAATTAGAATAATTATATTTGTAATAAATTTAACTCATTCAAACTTGAATACCTCCTTTATCTTGCTTTTATTTTGAGCAGAAGCATCCATTTACCTGTCTCTCTTACATATTCCAATCTATAAAATGTTTTCTCATAATCCATACTTACTCTCTTCCATAATACTTTGGTCTGTTTTCTACCTGTTTGGGAAGAAAAAAAAAGATATTTGTGAAAATGCAAATGTTCAGAACCTAACTCAACATTTTGTATATGTGGCAAATTAAAGCATATACTAAGAAAAAGAATTAGAATAAGATTCAAAACATCAGAGTCTGGAGTCCCATGTCTATCAGCAGGTTCATTGTGCCATTTTGACTTGTCACTTCATCTCTCAGATCTATTTCTTATCTAAAAAGGGCTGTGTATGTAAAAATAGTTGGATTAAATTTAATCTTTCATTTTGAGGATTTTATGAATCTGAAAAAATATTTACATCACTTTATTCAAAAAGTAAAATAAAACATCAAAAACTTAATGCCACAATTGTGTCAGAACAGATTGTGGCTTCCTCTCCCTTCCTGTTACTCCATATTTTCCATTCTGTTCACACCTCAGTATAATCTTGTCCTTTTTTCCTCCTATCAGCTCTTTCCTCACCAGAGTTTATCCCTGTCCTCCCCACAGCGTTCCACAGCAGGTGTACTGGCTGTGGCTAAGGAAAGACCCTGCAGAAAAGATTCTAAGGAATCTGTACTGGGGTAGACTGAAGGAGAGTATTTGGCCCATTCATTCAAGAAACATTTACTGAATGTCAAATGTGTGATAGGCACTGTCCTACCTAGAAGGGGACATATCGCTGCAATAAGACAAAAACTGTCAATACTCTTTTGAAACTCGGAGACAGACAAGAAGTTTCAAGAGAAAAAAAGGGAAAATAGAAAGTAGTAATAAGTGCTACAATAAAAATAAGAATGGGTAATGTAAAGGGGAGGGCTAATGAGGTATTTAAGTTGGGTGGTCAGGAAAGGCCTCCCTGAGAAGGTGACATTTCAACTGGGTTCTGAATGACCTGAATAGACATTTTTCCAAGAAGACATACAGATGGCAGACACATAAAGAGATGCTTGACATCACTAATTATCAGGGAAATGCAAATCAGAACCACAATAAGATTTATCACCTTACACCCGCCAGAATGGCTAGACTAAGAAACACAAGAAACAACAAGTTTTGGTGAGGATGTGGAGAAAAAGGAATCCTTGTGCATTGTTGGTGGGAATGCAAACTGGTCAGCCACTGTGGAAAACAGTATGGAGTGTCCTCAAAAAATTAAAAATAGAGGGGCACCTGGTTGGCCCAGTGAGTAGAGCATGTGACTCTTGATCTTGGGGTCATGAGTTCAAGCCCCATGTTGGGCATAGAGCTTACTTTTTTAAAAAAATTAAAAATAGAAATACCATAAAATCCAGTAATTCACTACCAGGTATTTACCCAAAGAAAATGAAAAACACCAATTTGAAAAGATATATGTACCCCTATGTTTATTGCAGTGTTATTTACAATAGTCATGTTATGGAAGTAGTCCAAGTGTCCACTGATGGATGAATGGATAAAGAAGATGAGGTATACACAACACACACACACACACACACACACAATGGACTACTACTCAGCCATAAAAAAGAATGAGATCTTGACATTTGCAATAACATGGAGATATTATGCAAAGTGAAATAAGTTGGATAGAGAAAGACAAATACCATATGATTTCACTTATAAGTGGTATCTAAAAAACAAAATGAACAGATTATTAAAATACAGAGAACAAATTCCTGGTTGCCAGAGGGGAGCACGAGGGAGGGGACTGGTGAAATAGATAAAGGGGATTAAGAGATACAAAATCCTCGGGTGCCTGGGTGGCTCAGTTGGTTAAGCGACTGCCTTCGGCTCAGGTCATGATCCCAGGGTCCTGGGATTGAGTCCCACATCGGGCTCCCAGCTCAGCGGGGAGCCTGCTTCTCCCTCTGACCCTCTCCTCTCTCATGCTGTTTCTCTCTCGCTCGCTCTCCAATAAATAAATAAATAAAATCTTTAAAAAAAAAAAAAAAGAGATACAAAATCCAGTTATAAAATAAGTCATGGAGAAAAAAGTACAGCATAGAGAATATAGTCAGTAATACCGTAATAACACTGCACGGTGACAGACAGTGATTACCCTTACTGTGGTGAGCACTGAGTAACCTATAGACTTGTTGAATCAATATGTTGTATACCTGAACTAATATAACAACGTATATCAATTATACTTCAATAATTTAAAAATTAAAAAATAAAATTACAGATTAAAAAATATTTTAAATTATTAAAATTTAAAATGAAAATAAATATATTTATACCAATATACACCAATAGGGGAATAAGTAAGCTGATTTATAGTAAATGCAGTTTGGAGGAATGATGTAGATCTATAGGGACTAAGGTGAAGAAGTCACCAAAACAAACCACTGAATACAAACCTAAGTTATGGAATAATTATACAGTATGACACCAATTAGGAAAAGCCCATGTACACTAATACTTTAATATATATTTAGAGACTAGACAGATATCTGGAAAAATATATACCAAATTCAAATGGTTTCCTTCCAGGAAGGTTGGGGAGGACTGAACTGATGGGCCCATTGGGAAAGCAAAAGAGAGACTTCAGTATTAACTGTAATATAATTTTTTAAATAAAGAATGCATGTATGCATTGCTGATACAGCTGATTATCACTTTTAAAAAACAAATCGAGATTAACTTTTGTGTAATTTAATATTAAGAGTCTGAGGCACATTAGGATATAGTCCCCCCAATGGGGTCCCTCGAATCGTAAGCTCTTTGCAGGTGGCTGAAAGGATGGGAATGAGGTAAAAAGAAAGGAAAGTTCTTGAATACACTCTACTCGATGATGAAAATTCTGGACCAGTACAAAGGACTGGTGTGGCTGATGCACTGGGGGCCTTAAATGGTGCAGCAGTCCAACGGGTGTTACAACCCAAGACAATACTGACTAGTTGACAGTCCCTCATTAAGTGCACAATATGCTTCCATTGATTGCCTAAGCAGTCATCTTCATAACACAACTGATTAGGTCTTACACTGATGAATAACTATTTTGCTTTACCCAAAAGAACTTTGAATTAAAGGAAATTAGGTAAACATTGGATGCTTAATACAGTACTGTTATAATAGGCAATAAGTCCAAAATAAATCGACAAAACAATTGCCTCTTTTTCTGCTTTTCCATAATGGAAATATCAAATAAAACAAGTTTAAACTAACTCTTTTTTCTCTTTTACCTATAAAGTGAAGGGGAACAGAATATACCACTTCAGCATAAGGATTATTTTGAGTTGAATGCGATTAAGAAACCCCAAACACGGAAGGAACAATGAGCCCTCCCCCTTTCACCTCAAAGCAGTGCATAAATTTCCCTTTGTAAAGGTGTCCCCTCCCATAACAGGGAGAGAAGAACACAATGACTTCAGGGACAATTCTTATCAACTGAGATAGCTGGAGTCTGCATAATAAACCTTACCAAAAACCCCTTATTTACTAAACAATTCCTAATCACCTTTCCACAACTCACCCTAACCCTTCCAAGGCCCAAACCCCTTTTGCTCTGTCTGCTCCCTTCAGCACACTTTATCACCCTCTGTGAAAGTGGTATATAAATTATTGGATGAAACTGCCTCTTTGGGGTTTTCATGTATCTGCTGTGAGCCCCTCCTCCCTTGTGTGCATATGAAATAGACCTTTTCTACTGTTAATCTCTCTTTTTTCAGTTTGACTTGCAGGCCCGAGACACAGAACCTAAGAGGATAAAGGAGAAGTTTCTCCTTCCCTACAACAGCATTTAGATTTTTGCTGATGTGTCAGATATCATTACTTAAGTAGTGATCTGGAATAGTCTTTCCAAACAAGACAGGACAGCATTACTGATCGATAATTAAAAAGGGTTAATAATATGAACAATGATTATTAATGATCCCAATTAATTTATTTGCAAATACATCCACCTGGGAATTTAAATGTTATACGGAATAATAAAAATATATTTGTGCTTATACAAACATTTTATGCTTGTTTCTAAGTTTCAAAAAAAAAAAGTTCATAATAAGACTAAAACTGGCTGAAATCAATGTGACTACGTGAGAAAGGATTTTAAATTAGTACTTATGTTGAATTACATGCTTTAGCTTTCTCTAATTTTCTATGTTTAATAGTTAACATTTTTTTCATGATACCATATTATGGGTAGGAAAAATGGGAAATGAGGGGAAAAAAAAGATTCCAACTAGAAATAAAAGGTGCTGTAGTTTGGTTGCTATAATGTAGATCATGTTATCATGATGAGAAAGAAAACTAAGTTAATCTACCATTACTGAATATAAAGTGCATAGTAAATATAAGAATTCAATAAGTAGTAGATACCATTTTACAATATTTTAAGTATCAATGGAATCTGTTAAATTAACATTTACTGTAGTTTTGGTAACTAATGAACTATTTTTTATTGTTACTTTTTAACATAGTGTTATAAATTATTTTTTTCATATATAAAATATTTTAATCAAATTCACCAACCACATTCTTTCAAATTAAAGAAGTCTTATTTCTTATCTTATTTTCTACAAAAACAAGAGCTTGTTTAATATCTAAGTTTCTTGCTCTGCAAAGGAAATCTGAAAACAGTAGGAAAAAACAATAAAAGTACTATAAATGTTAATTCCCTTCCCTCCTCATGCACAATGTTATAGATTCAGCTCTCAGGTTATTATTTTTTTTACTCTGTCCCATGGCTTTAGTTCAGAACAGTTGCCACCCCCCCTCCACCAAATTTTCCTAATTTAAATTCAAATTTAAAGAATATATATTTCTAGAGGCAATGCTACTAAAACAATGAAGCAGAACACTCAGAAAATTTCCAAAATGCTTCATGCTGCTCTTTTCTAACAGTGGTATCAACCTGGTCAGAAGTCACATGAAATCCTTATCTCCTTCTCGTTCCCATTGTAAAAACAATACTTGGAGGCAGGTACTTGAAACCTAGTCTGGAAGTCTATATGAGGCTTATAAAAGTTAGGGTATATATACATGAAATTGTAAGAAATAATAGAACCCTGGCCAAATATTATTATTTTTTTCAGGCAGCAGT